GGATTTCAAACTCCAAGCAGGAGCACCAGCCTGGCCAATGGTGAGGGATGGCAGGAGTTGTAGTCCAACAACATCTGGAGAACAGTGTGTGGGCTACTCCTGGCGGTGATGGTCAGATGCTGTAGATACAAAGATGTAGACAGGTGGGGCAAAATGACTGACAGGTATAAATGCAAATTAATGCAATTAATGTGCGTTGGGGGCTGCTAAACAGTCTTGCCTGGATGTTAGAGTGTCTTGTATTCTGACTAACACCAACAAAATAGAAGGAAGGTAGAAATTATTTCTCTTGCTCCCCCTGAAGAGGTTCAGTTGGACAAAGAGATAATCATAGAAGTTATGTAAGAAATACCAAGGGAAAAGGGATGCTACAATTTGAATATCTGAGTTTTACGAGGTCCACTGCTGTGGCTGCTCGGCTGCTCTCATCCTTCATCTCCTAGACCTCTCTGGCGCAGTTCAACCAGTTGTGGTTGTTATCAACCTCCTTGTGTCCCCGCATTCTGATAGAAACAGGCAAATAATGAGGCTAGACAGGAAAAATCCTGCTAAATGTGAGCCTTCCTTCAGCACCATCCTTATCTCAAAATGGCAGCTGGACATGAGATGATGAGCCAGTGAGGCTCTTTTGCTGCCCAGGACATAAACACCTCCTGCCCTGACACTCTGGAAGATCTCTGCGAAAAACTACTCTTCCTGTTCAGTCCCATCACTGGGATTACGAAACACGTGCTGAGTAAAAATACTCCCTATTCCAGATCTAGGGGGAACACTGCCTTTATGCTATGCTAATGGCAACAGAACAACATAATTCCATAGAGAAAAGGTAGTTCCTCTTCCAGCTGTCTGGAAAATTTGTTACAACCCATTTTCTGGCTCCCCCAAAAGCACCATCTGAAATGAAGCAAGTTTGGAGAGCAAGTCAGCTTCCTATGCATAGCATTATGGCGTTTATATCCAGATTTAGCATTGTAGGTTGGCAAAGGAAGCACATGCAAAGTATCAGTCACTCTGGATTTGGCGGCTGCCAGTAAGTTTGTAGACATGGGCTTCATCATATGGCACAGGAATGTGTAAATGGAAAATTCCCTTAAAGGGTTGCTGATAACACTAAGTGAACTATTTCTGTACTTTATACCATCAGGACATGGCTATACTAGTGCATTATATTCAGGCATATTCACCCCGAGTTACAAAAGAAGACACTGGTGCTTCTCCAGTACAACTGTCTAAAAGAACCATTTAGCGATCTGTTTCAATGCAAGGAGCCATTTACAGAGGCTCCTCTAAATGGGAAATTATCAGAGGATAAGATGATTTATTTTAATTTCAATGCACTGTCACGGGTTTTGAGTTTTAATCAAGTTTAAGTTAGCTAAGCTTTGGGTAGTACTGTCGTTTACCTATGCGAAAACTCACATTTCTGCCTGTTCGTCCTACCTCTGTTGACAGCCATTAGAACATTCCTTTTCATCCCTTCCCTCTCCTTGCAGTTTAACCTTGTCCCTTGAGGAGTATTTTCTTTCCAAAAGATAGATTGTGGGCTGCACACAACATGAAAAGTTTATGTACTTTTCCTGTTGCCATCTGCAAGGTATTTCTTCCCAATATTTTCTTCTAAAAGAATTGAATTTCAGGTTCTAGTTTGCTTCTTCACAAGTCAAAATGCAACTTTAAAACTTGTTGATAGAAATGCTCAAATCCCCTTATTTGTTGTCATAAGTGGCTTACAGCACAATCTGGCACATTTCTACCTGGCAGCAACTTCCACAGAACTCAAAAGGGCTTACTCCCAAGTAAGTGCACAAAGGATCGCAGCATCAAGCTTACAGTCAATAACTACATGAAGAAGAAGAGTTTGGATTTGATATCCCGCCTTTCACTCCCTTTAAGGAGTCTCAAAGCGGCTAACTTTCTCCTTTCCCTTCCTCCCCCACAACAAACACTCTGTGGGGTGAGTGGGGCTGAGAGACTTCAAGGAAGTGTGACTGGCCCAAGGTCACCCAGCAGCTGCATGTGGAGGAGCGGGGACGCGAAATGTTGGGGACGCGAAATCTCATGGAAAATGTTGTTCATTGAACCAGACAGATACAATGGCTTTGACCCTGCAAAGGGGGCAGCAGGCAACCAAATCCAAGGACAGCACCAGCACAGCACAAACCCCCTTCTCAGCCACTCCCTGCTGACCCGGTTCGTGGAGGGAACTTGTTCTTAATAAACAGGTATGGTCACCATGAAGTAGGTGCTCCCTCTGAAACCCTGGTCTCCAACAGGAGAAGACTTTATTAGTTAAACTCAGCAGCTTGAGTAATGTCTGGAAACACACAGGAAACCAATATATTATAGCAACAGAAAGCAATTATGGTCAATAGTCTGATTGCTGCATTCTGAAATTATTTAAGTTTTTAGTTAATCTTCAAAGGCAGCCCCATGTATCCTACACTGCAGTAATCTAACCTGGATGTTAGCCAATTAAAATCATATTTTTGATTAATTACATTTCCACTGAAGCACAAGCACAGTGTGCTGCCTCCCTCGGTGGATTAAAAGGCAAACATTTGATTTTTAATCTCTCTTGGCAGAACCCCATTTTGATGCTGGCCTTTTCCCTCTCTCTTTCCTTCCTGTATGCCCTCAATATGCTTCACCTGGTTGAGCACATCTTGATTATGAGACTAAAACTATTTGAAGAAAGGAAACATTATTTATCTCAGAGATCTTTTCTCATTCCAGCTCCACACAACATGCTTACTTTTAACTTGAGAAGTGACAGTACCAAAATAACAAGAAAAAGTCCCACCTTATTTTTGAGACCCCCCTTTCTTCATATCACTAGGAAAAATACCATCCTTCTGTTGTTCAGCCATATTTTTCCATTTCTTTCAAACACATAAGTTCACAATTTATGTACGGCTCAAGGTAAACCTAAAGCAAACACAGATGTGCACATATACACTGCTTTTTTTCCAGATTAGCCCAACTGACTCCAGGGTAAGCAATTAACTTCAAAGGGACTACTGTGGAATAAGTGGTTTGAGGATTGCCATTCATAGATGGTTTAACAGAAACATTCATAAAAACAAAGCACAAACATTTCATCAAACTTATGCTAAGATTTTTTTCAAGATAGGGGTCCCCATACTTTGTTTAAGGGAGCCTTTTCATAAAGCAAAAGTTAAACCTCCTTGCCTTGCCTTGCCCTGGGAATCAGAGAGAGACTTGGTCACAGGATGAGAGGAAAGACAGCCTAGACACAAAGTGCCACATCTGTTGGGCTGCCCTTAATGGTTTTCTGGAGGTTTCAGGTACAGTGGCCTATTTCCTGGGGAAGATAGATTACTGGAAGAGTTCTAGAATATGCACTATCTTTGAGGCACAATGCCAATTATTTTGCCCAATAAAGGCCCAGTTTATGTCAGGCAACATGGTCCATGTATGCATCAAGTCAGGACAACTATTGCGCAAAGGAGAAACAGAGCTGGAGACTGTAATCACAAAAATGGAACAACCTTTCATAACTCTAGCATCATTCAGAAACATCTGGACCCTGGTCCTTAGGAAATGATCTAGGCTGGAACACACACCACCCTAGGCAACAGCTTATGCATGCTTGCCTTCTTGAGAATCTAACAGGGAAAGTAACAGATCTTAATTGATATTGCAGAACATATGCAATTCACTGGTGGTCTTATGACAATCTAATGCCCATTCAGCTAGCAGAAATACTCAGACATACAAGACCCAACCAAGAAATTGGAAGATGTTTAGAAGCGGATGGAGTGGAGGCATTTACCTGACCTCCCAACAGGTGAGCCACTGCTGTTTAGCAGGAGAGTCAGCAATGAGACAGCAGGGAGGTTGGCACGGTTCAAACACACCAGCAGGAGACCAGATTGGCTTCACTGGTGGATTCACACTCTGCTGATCTCACAACCACCTCATCCCTCCCATGGGACAGGAGCAACTCACATTTGGGATGTGAAACAGGGTTCCTTTTAGTGTCATAATTTAATTCAGTGTTTGGTGTCATGTGCATGAAGCACTGAGAGTTAAAAAGAACAATCAAGCTTTGAAAACTGTTGCTCCCTTACAGCAGCCCAGATTAGGGCTGGGCAATATCTGGTTTTCAACACTGCGATATATTGCCAGCTAAACATCGTGATATACCTATATATCACAATGTCTGAAATAAGGATGGAGCTTTGTAGAGGCATTGGCTGGCTTCAAGGTTTTTCACACATCGTGATTTTGGCATAGCATGAGCACACACACACACACACAATATATGATTCACAATATATTGCCAGGTCAAAAATTATGAAACCAATATCATCATATGGACTTCTAACCGGTTTGGGATGATATGTCAATATATTGCCCAGCCTTAGCTCAGATATAATCCTGCTTCAGAAGACACAAGATCTACCCACCCTGGAAGAATGGCAGATGAAGGTGATGGACTATATGGAACTGGCAGAAATGACTGGCAGAATCCGAGACCAGGGAGAAGAGTTGGTGGAAGAAGATTGGAAGAAGTTCAAAGATTATCTACAGAAATATTGTAAAATTAATGAATGTTAGAACGATGTTGGATAGAAATTAAGTGGTTTCTAGCTGTAATGCTTTAAGGGAATATGAAAAAGGGGTTGTTAAGAGGTAAAAATCTAATGTTATTATATTAAGATCAAAGATTAGGATAAATAAAGAGGGTAAGGATTTGCTGAACCAACAAACTGAGCTGGAATACAAAAAAGGGAGGTATGAGGAGGTCCGGGAAACAAGCTAAAGAAAAATAAGCAATGGAAAATTTGAGTGTTTTTAACCATTTTTATTTTGTATCTATTTTTTCCCCTCTCTTTCTTTCTCATTTTTTATTGTAATACTTTAAAAAAATCTAAATAAATATCTTATAATATATATATATATAATCCTGCTTCAGGTCAATAGTCTCTGGAGCTGGCTTCCATCAAGAAAACCAAAAATGAAGGAAATATGCCTACCTGGAACAGCTATCTTCCCTACTGATGGATGATCCATCTCCATGACAAGCCCATTGTGCAGAACCTAAAAAGAAGAAGAAGCAAATATATAACAATAAGCATCGCCCAGTGATACAGAAAGCTGCAACTAAAAGTATGGTTCATGATGAAGCCCCGTTAAGGAAGGACAATACATATTTGCTTTATGCATGGAGTACTGGAAGTCCCTGTGTTGTCCAGGATTTCACAGTTGTTGCTGATGGCTTCAATTATTATAACCCACATAAAGGTAAAGGTAAAGGTACCCCTGCCCGTACGGGCCAGTCTTGACAGACTCTAGGGTTATGCGCCCATCTCACTCAAGAGGCCAGGGGCCAGCGCTGTCCGGAGACACTTCCAGGTCACGTGGCCAGCGTGACAAAGCTGCATCTGGCGAGCCAGAGCCGCACACGGAAACGCCGTTTACCTTCTCGCCAGTAAGCGGTCCCTATTTATCTACTTGCACCCGGAAGTGCTTTCAAATTGCTAGGTTGGCAGGCGCTGGGACCGAGCAACGGGAGCGCACCCCGCCGCGGGGATTCGGAATTTGAATACAAATGTCATATCTGATAAATAATAGTCAAGGACCTCCGTATGTAGAATCGGTGCTACATGAACAGGCTCCCTCTAGGTAGGCTATATGATTAATTATATTTAACAAATACAAATCTCATGCAGTAGTTTTACTTGTCAAAGAGAAATACTGGAGTTGTGGGGCTTGTCATTTCAGTTTTGTATTGCTGTAATATTTTAAATTACTCTTTATTGCAAAAGAAGAATGAAAAATCTAGCACCATCAATATCCCTGTTACTGCCACTGAAATTTCATCCTTTATTTTATGACAGAGAACAATTAAACCCAATATGTGGAATGGGAGGGACTTATGCTGCCAACATACTATATCTTGATTTCAGTAAGGCTTTTGACATATAAACTTAGAAAATTAGAGCCTTTGTATGTCTTCCTATTCAGTTACACTGGCAAGCAAGCAAATGCCTATAACTTTTCCTTTCTTTTATTTTACTTTTTTGACGGAACTGGATAGAATTCGAAGGTATAGAAGCCATTTCTGAGTGGGTGATGCCTCCCAAATTTCAAACAATTAAGTGTAGGTGTTATTTATTTATTTTCTCCTTCAAGTCTTCCTTTACATTTTGATTATTTAAAAAAATTGTAACTGCTATAACTGCTCCCCCCCCCTTATTCTTTGAACAGAATTGAATTAAATTTTCAGCCATAGTTGCCCCTTCTGAGGGGATAAATTCTGCCAAATAAGGTGCAGGGGCATTTGTGTAAGGGGGGTGTGTCCGCGCGCCCGTTTAAAATCTGGGGAGAAGGAAAAGGCTTTGCTTTTGTTGGGAAATCTTAGAGGTGCCTCTTGGTTAAATAGCCTGCACAATTTCAAAAATCAGTGTTTCTAAAAGTAAAGGGGGAAAGAAGCCCAAGTAAAGATATACCCTGGTTGGAATCAAGAGAGCTTGCAGGATGTAGGGTGATCAATTTCTTCAGACATGCCGTCCTTGTCTTGGACTTAGCGCTTCAGGAAGACTACTTTGGGCTCTTTTGGAGAAAACCTACTTTGCTTCAGACAAGCCTTAAATCTCTCTAAATTAACCTGCTGCAGTTCAGGTTTCATCCGAACCCATTGCATATCCTACTGACTTCTGCTAGCTGCAGCCCTCCACGCTGTATTGAAAATCAATTGAGCAGTGGGGGCGGGGGGAGGCTAGCCTTCAGAAATATCTTTGGAGAAGGTGCAAGGAGCTGCAGCTTTCTGTGCTCATGCACAATTATTTTCCATTTGGACACTTTGGATCTCAGCCACAGAGTACCAGAGAACCCTACATGTATACTATACTTCTTTTCTACAATTCAGTCTTGCAAAGATCCAAGAGAAGCTCTTGGAACCATGCTGCAAATCTCCCCACTTCTTGACTCAGATATGCTACATGAATTTAACATGCAAAAATTTTAGTGGCTTGTTAGAAAAATAAACTTTCATCATTAACCGATAGTTTATTATCCTCCCCAAGACAAAACTGAGATGTCCATCAGTTTAACTTCTGAATGTTTGTTTTTTTGTTTGTTTGTTTATTTGCAAGGTCAGTAGATTTCTTAAAGACATATAAGGACAATCTAATTGTTTATTCTGCTTTTAAAAAAATAATTTGTTTGATCTACATACAGATATATTTCTGTTGATATGTTCATAGATACTGTCCCTTTTCTGATTTTTTAATTGTATAAATTCAGGTTGCTTGCCTGCCAAACTAAAGAAAGATGCCTTTTAACTCTATTGTACAGGGAGTTGCAGGAATTAACAATGCATCATCTACATACAATGAACATGAAATAAAATTATCTAACTGAAATTTCATTCCCCAATTAAGATTTCAAACAATTTAAAAATAAATTGAACCTCACTGGATGCCTGATTTCCTTGCAATACTATCGGATAATGAGTCTGCCAACTAGCGCTAATACGCCCAGGAACCTCACCAAAATGCTGGAGAGGATGCACTTCCACAGGCACATACCTCCACATGTGGTGAGAATGCCCCCAAATCCAACTATTCTGGATAACAACCATACAAGAAATATGCAAAATAACCAAGCAAGTATTAGAAGTCATCCCATAACTGGCCCCACTAAACATCTTCCAAGAGAATAATGCCCATTCACATCACAAAGAACTCATAACCCACCTACTCTCAGCAACCAGAACATCATAAGCAGACACTGGAGAGACCTGTCAGGAGTAAGCACGGACAAATGGTACTAAATAGTATGGGAAACAGCCTTATTAGAAAAATTAACCAATGAACTGAAACTGACACAGGGACAAATGGCAGAAGACACCTTCACCCTGATATGGCTCCGTTTTATCACATACATAGCCCAACAAGACAACGACAAGAATCCACCAACAGCATACGAATCAATATGGCTAACCTGATTCAAAACACTCACCCACCCCACTCAAACTTGAAAACAAAGTTCACCACAGCCAATCACAAACAACCACACCCTAGACCTCTCTCACCACCAAAGGAACACAAGTGAATAGTTAAGAGAACCCGCACAAGCAACACTGACATAAAACCCCACACATACATTAAGTAAAATAGAAACATTGCCACCCGACCCCACCCCCACCCACCACGGCCCCCTCCACCTCTTTCCCCCTTCTCTTCCTAATGTAATACTAATGTCTCAACAAATAAAACTGATCTGAAGAAAATGTAACTTGAAAGAAGAGACATTGCACATACTTTTGTAAACCAAGAAATCTTTAATAAAAATACGTTTAAAAAAATGATGAGCCTGCCAAACCAGAACAATAAGTGAAGTATAAGTATTTTTTAAAATAACGTAAGATTGGGCTTCATCTGTTACTCCCTCTGCCATCTTTAAGTATACTTTGCTAAGATTCCACCCACCCCCCTATTTTCTAAGTCATGCACTATTTCCCCTTGATTGCTTCTAGATGAAACTGGCAAGACATTTTCAATTCATCATCATTACTGTTCAATCTACCAATCTGTATAACGTGTCCCTCTTTGTCTAAATGGGTTGGGGTTTTTTTTTAATTTAAGTCTAGTTTTTTCTAGAAGTTTCTTCAATAGTGGTAAACATTAAACCACTATTTTCTGGTAGTTTGCCCCAGTAATGCCTTGGTAAAATTTGGAAATAAGGATGCTAGACTAGATGGAGCTTTGGCCTGATCTTGCAGAGATTCTTCTCACTCTGACATAGACACAAGGTGCTCCACAGCCTGAGTTTCCAAAGACAATTCTGTTGCCATCTCAGCTCTGAGGCCCATATATTGCCAAGATCAGGGGTAGGCAAACTAAGGCCTGGGGGCCGGATGTGGCCCAATTGCCTTCCTCAATCCGGCCCACAGATGGTCCAGGGAATCAGTGTTTTTACACAAGTAGAATGTGTGCTTTTATTTAAAATGCATCTCTGGGTTATTTGTGGGGCATAGGAATTTGTTCATTCCCCCCCCCTAAAATATAGTCCGGCCCCCCTACATGGTCTGAGGGACGGTGGACCAGCCCCCTGCTGAAAAAGGTTGCTGAGCCCTGGCCAAGATGAACCCTGACTGATGGGGAAACAAATTGCCTCCCTGCTTCCCTCTTTTCCTCATACATAGGGTGCAAGTAGGCTTCCATCTTGTGGATAACTTTCCATATACAGTATCTACTCCCAAATGACAGCATATTTTGTGTCATTCTTGTGCCCGGACTCCTCCAACTAATCAAGAGATCAGCAATTAAATCAAGGCAAACAATACTTCACTCCATACGACTTATATTCACTCCATGCAATATTTATTTTCATGTGCCTTATCCGTGATGCACAAAAGGCAATACAATATATTTCACCATGCATGTGCTATCAAGCGTTTCATCATTTCCCTTTGGAATAATACATTACTTTGAGCAAAAAAATGACTGGGGAATAACAATGTCACACGCTAATTTTACTGCTTCTTTTGACGAAGTTAATGACTTTGGGTGGGATTCACCTAGCAGTTCCATCAGCAGAAGTTCTGTGCAAGGTCTTCCACCTACACAATGGGGCTTCCCCCTTTCCTTCCTGCACCCCTGAAATTGGATCAGAGGTATGTTGGGAGAACCCCCAGAACAGCACTAGTGGGGATGAGGGGGGACATTCCATCTGGCAAACTGAAAATCTTGCAGCGATGGAACGTTTAACATAGCACGACATGGAATTCCTCCCTGTATGTTTAAAAGCTTGCTGCATTTTCTCTTAACAATATGGAAGTCCCATAGGCCTATAAACTTTCAGAGTGGAACAATGCATGCTTAATTTAACCTTTGCTGCTCTCTCTGTTCTCTCACTTTTTAATAAACAAAATATTAGAACAAGACGCAATCAAGGTGCTTACACTCACATTTGTCATGCATTTTATGGCAATAAATGAGCATTGCTTTGAGCAAAGTCAATGTCTTTAGATGTATCTGCTTCATTTGGAATGGTTCATTTCACAGACCTAGTGTAGATCATATTTCACAAAC